TGGTGCCAACTTGGGCCAGTGAAGCAACATCCTCCACAACTAGACTGAAGAACAAAAATGACAGCAACTTGTCTGTTCCCCTTCCCTCAATTCCCCAGTGCTGTTCCCATCCCCCAACTCCCCAATAAAAATCTTAAAAAAATAAATAAATAAATAAATAAATAAATAAAATGCATATCTGATATCGTCACCCCACCATTTGAAACCCTCCATCCTCCTCCCCCTACTGACCTTGAGAGAGAGGCCAAATGCCAAACATAGCTTATAGGGTACCACGTAACCCACTCTCGCCTCTTCTGAGCACCTCACTCTTGAACTTCATCTTTCTCCAGTCTCCACTCAGGAGCTCCGAGCCATCAAGGCTTCCTTTCACTGCCTCAAAAGGAAGAAGCTTTGCCTTGCTCTCACTGGCTTCTGCGTAGAATGGTAGCCACCTCCTTGCCCTGGGAAGTTTTGCTAACCGCCCACACCCCTCCCACTGCTTTTTAGGAGGCTGTCCCTTCTTCTTCCTCTGTACTCCTTCCACATTGTAGCACTTGTCACTCTCGGGACGGTTCCCATTTGCCTGCCTGTTCTCCTCGCGAGCATTTGAGCGCTGTGAGGTCAGGGAGCATATCTTCGTTGCTGGATCTTCAGCACTCAGAGCAAGTATCATCATACAAAACGGTAAGTCATTTTTGCCTCTGCCTTTTAAAGGTATTTGGCAAAGTAGGCGGAAAGGCAAGATTAGCAATAAAGTGAAGCCACTATTGTTGGGCCAGAGAAGCCAAGGCTGAAATTCCTGGGACTCCTGTTTTCCCTGTGGCCTCTGAGAAGCTGAAGGGAACCCTCTGCATTCCAACCCACCAAGCCCCTAGGTCTGTGTTTGTCCACAAGGGACCGATTATATTTGACCTCAGCAATGATTTAACTGTGGAACACCTTGTACTATCAACAAACATGGATGACCAAAATATCTGTGGTCCTTAAGATGGATTTGCCCAGGGCTGAAATGCCTTCCAATATTTACAGTACCATAGTGTGATTTTTGAACAATGCAAAGATGGCATTTGCACATTAAGTCATGGAAAAAGGTATTCACACAGTTTGTTTTGTTTTTCGTGAAAGCATTTCACATTCCCTGCCAAGAATATTAACTGCAGTGCTTTTAACGTGTTCATCAATGTTGGCATTTATCCATATTTGGAGAAAATTAAAGCTGGGGTTGAATTGAATCTTTGTCTCCTAGACGTGGCTATTTGTGACCTACTCTATTATGAAATGTGTTTATTTTGAGGGTTTTAGGTGATTAAAAAGAGTTTTTACTCCAGTTTTTTTTTTCACTGTAGTCGTCTCCTTTTTTAAAACCCTTTCATGATATAAAGCATGTTTGGGGGGGGGGGACTGGTACATATCTGGTGGTCATTTGCCAGTTCAGTCAGAGAGCTAATATGAAACTGGTATTTGGATTTAATTCAGTTCCATTAGGACAGAGTTAAAATTTGGTGATACAGGGCCTATTATCCTGGCAGTTGTAAGAGATTTTTGTGCTAGGAAGCCGTGCTGACAAAGAGAGCACTGTGCAGGCTCCGTCTATAACTGAGCACTTTCACACTGCAATTTAGGAGGTGTGCAGTTCAGGAAATTGCTGGCTTTGGCTGGAGCATACTTTAACTGCAAGGAAAATTTTATTCGTCACTCAAGTAATTGGCAGTTTTAATACCTTGTTCATAATTACCTTATAAACAAACGAATATATAAACCAAAGATTGTAAGGCCTGTTATCTAACCCGTAGCCTTATTTGACCAACGTGATAGACACCTGTGGGTCTCCTGCTCCCTCCCACAAAAAACCAATTTGCTTCATTTATTGCAGAAATGTAAAGCTGAGCGTTTTCTTCTTGTTGTTAAATAGAAGCATAGCTGAGCCAGCCCCAGACAGCCTGGGGGCCAAAACCAGATGCAGAGTTTAATGGGAGGTACTGGCTAGGGACGGGGAGGGAGATGGAGGGGGGGCACTTGGGCACTTCAGGGCTGTTCCATTGTTTGTGGGAGGACATCCTGGTAATGCAAACATTTGGGTTATGTATTTAAGAGAACATTTTTGTCCCCTAAAGCATGGTTTTGTTTAACCCACACACCCTGACCCTAAGGCCCCGAGGCCCTGTGGCTTGTCTCTTGCACTGAATTCATCTCCGGGACCTAGAAATTGACTAATTGTCTCACTTGCATTACCCTGTACCTCACAACTAGATCAAGGAGTTTGTACACTGGCAAATCCAGATGTGGGAAATGGTCAAAATCAGAGGTCATGGCTGACTTGACTCTAAACAAAGTCTGTAAGACTTTATGGGAATCTGAGGGGCTTGCTATTTGTGACTTGTGCATGGGACTGCTAAAACGTTTTTATTTTCCCCCCTTACTATTATCACAGAGTTCAGCTTTTACCGTAGACATCACCTTCTTACCGTGTATAGGATTACTTTTAAAAAGGGGGTTAGATTCTCTGATGACTTGGATCAAAAGATCATTCGTTACCCCCACAGCCCTTAAAAGTAACATATGAAGGGTTTTAACAATATTTTGAGACGTTTCATTAGTTGTTATTAGAACCGATTTTCTCCCCTTACTGTCCTTTCTTGTGGAGGAAGCACCTGACATTGGTACATATTTAGGCAGTCTTCTCCTCTGGTGGATGTCAAACCCCAGCGGGGGAGGGGGGGGGATTGTGATTGTACCTATCTAGGGTGCAAACACAGATTGAGGGGTGTCGTTTCCAGGGCATCCTTACTGTCAGCGTGATGATGGCAGGGAGCCAGGGTACAGCATCTTTGCAAGGGTGGGAAGTAAGGAGCCTCTCTAGAGTTGTGTCTCCACATAACTTAGTTGTCAAAATACCTTTGAAACTGTTTTCTATGAAAAGAGCTATGGGACTCAGGGATTGCTTTGGAACCAATAAGGACTTAGTCTGTGAGGTGCTTCGGGAGTGTTTGGACTCATTAGATGAAAGCGCTCATCTCCTAATTTTAAAATTAGCTCTACTATCTGTATCAGAGAAACTTTACTACGATTAAATGGCAAATGTGTGAAAAACACTTAGTGCAGGGCTTGGCATCTGTTGGGTTGTCAGAAAAGTCATGACATATTTTTTCTGTTTTTCGTTGCAAAAATGCGTCATGACTTTTCCGATAATATGTATTCAATATGATTAGATTCCATACGCATCACAAGATGGAGGGGTCAATACCTACCCCTGCATGGAAGGAGCTCACAGTATGATAGAGAACACCGCCAGGGTAAGGGCTGTGTCAGAACGCAACACAGGATTTGGTGAAAATACATAAAAGTTGCACCTAACTCAGGAACCTTCTGAGATGGTGCGAGGCCTGTGAGTTAGAATAATGCAAAAGAGCTTACTAAATTCAGAACACCGCAGAAACACAGTCATTGGTAAGAAAGATACACATACAAGGTATGTTTTCTAAGTTTTCTCATTAAGTGAATGAAGGTTCATTACAGACTGTGTAGAAATGCCGACATGTGACCTGTGTTACGTACAGAATTCTGCTTAGAGTCTTCAGATTGTTGTTCTCCGTGGGTTCGTTGTAAAGAGAAGACTTTTGTTTTTGTATGTAGGCCGTTATCTTCCCAGCCTTTCTACCTTAACATGTTCTTTCACCTGCCAAATGATTGTCTAAGACAAAACTACTTTGTCTAATATGACGGACAATTAAGATGGACTGCACATCAGCTTAATTACTGTTTTTCAACAAGATGGTCATTTAATGCTGACTTTCCTCTTAGGAGTTGTTGTATGGATGACCTCTTAACAGCTTTGCTGTGGCCTCTTTTTTTTTTTCTTCTTTTTATTTGTGGTCTAGTGTAGTTCTGACCAACACAACTTTCCACAGTTAGAAACTTTCCGTATGGGCACTGTCCCGTTTGACAGCCGCCAGGCACACGTGGCTCTTGAGGACTTGAAATGTGGCTACTGTGACTAAGGAACTGGATTTTAACATTTAATTTTAATTAAACTTAAAGGGCCTCATGTGGCTACCGTATTGGACATTATGGTCTGGTGTTCAAGACTGTTAATGTCAGAAATGTTTAATGTAATTCCTCCCTGGGAGTACTTAGACTGGAGTGCTCTTACGTAATACTTTTATAGTATTCACAGCCCTGAAGCATATCCACTGGTTTTGAAGACTAGGGCAGTGCATTGAAACTTGGTGTTTCTTAAAGAAAAAGAGAGTTCTCTAGCATGGTTTTAAAAAAGCCCCAACCTGATGAGCGTTTTCAGTTCATTGGCACCTGAAGTGTGGGTACTTTTCAAGAGGAGACTTACAAATAGATGAGGAATCAAGAAGAAGGAAGAGGGAACTAAGACATCAGCGCTTGGAATGCCTACTGCATGCTAGGCATTTCACACACCTTTGTGATAATGATAACGGATGGAAGGACTATTAACAAAGTAACAGAAAAAAATCAGTTTAAGCGCCTAGCAGCTAGGTAACAGCATCTATTAAACACACCCAGATTTATATAGGAATGGTTTTCATATAGTCTATAATATTATGACTTACTATATTTAACGCAAAATTAGAAATTAGAGTGACTAAAGAGTTGCTGTTTGACTTTTAAAAGGAATGTTTAGAGCAATCAGTTTTCTACATTTCTAAAGAACAAGTTTTGAATAGAAAACATTTTGTACCTTTCAGATTGTTGTCCTATTAACCCAGTTATCTTTGCTATCCTTTAATTCCAGAGCTGGAAACAGAATTGTTGAAATATTAGCTGAACAGCTGAAACAGTTTCAGTCCCTCGAAACGTTGGACCTCAGCAGCAATAATATTTCAGATCTTAAAACTGCATTTCCACCTCTACAACTCAAATATCTGTAAGTCAAGTTTTCTTTAGCAAAAGTTTTTGCCTGTGGTGTAATTATCATTGTAATTTAAAAAAATCAATTTTAAGATGTCACAAACTCTGCATATTTTACTGCTGATGGATTAAAAATTTCACTTTCTTACCAACTCATACTTTGCTATAAGTCCAAATAATCACAATCTTCATTTTTATTGTTACACTTTTGAATTACAAAAAAATTAGACATCCTTTGTTAGAAAAACTATATAGGGTGCAAAGTTCTTTTTAAAAAAATAATCAAATGTAAACCATTGTTTCATTAATAAACAAATTTCATAAAAAGTGGGTAAGCATCTCTAACCCATTTTTATCATCGTCAGATATTCCCGTTACTCTTTCCCTAGCCACATGTGTGAATCATCGTCAATACTGGTCCATCAGGACCGAAAGAGCAATTATGTGAAGTGTCCATTGGTACAAAGGGTGGTGAGGGTCTCTGGAGATTCTTTATAATACAAATAGCACATGCACTTTATCTACCCAAAGAAACCAGAAAAAAGGGCTCATCTATAAACTTTGAACAGGTATATCAACAGCAACCGGGTCACCTCAATGGAAGCTGGGTATTTTGACAATTTGGCCAGCACGCTCGTGGTGTTGAAGCTGAACCGGAACCGAATCTCAGCTATCCCACCCAAGATGTTTAAACTGCCCCACCTGCAACACCTGTAAGTAAAATGTCCTGCTAGATGATGTGTCCCCACCTTTTATAGACCCTGGGTGTCTATTCCCTAAAATCCACAATTTATAAAAGGAGTTCAGAAGCTAGGATGCGACCATTCTCCTTTGCAGAGCCCAAGCTGTAGAATCCCCGAATCAGAACAAGCCTTAAAAGTCACCCCGTGCAAGCTCCTGCCTGACAAGGCATGTTGGATTATTACCGAAAGAGCAAACATTGTAATCATTGAACACGGCTGCACAAAGGCATCATTGTGGCATTGTAGAAATTGGGGGGACTCTCAACGGCTGTGGTTTATGAGAATAATACCAACAACTCCAGGAGGCTCTGATAGCTTAAGTGGCTGTAAAGAACTGTCTCGTTAATAATGGGTGAATGATCTGTGAACAGGCTCCTACAAAATAGTGGTTTTCAACCTTGGCTGCACATTACAGACACTTGGGGAGCTTTTAAAAATCCCAGTGCCTAGGCCACACCCTAGACCAATTATATGAGAACCTCTGGGGGTAAGATCCAGGCCTCAGTAAGATTTAAAACTCCCCAGATGATTCCAGTGGGCAACTAAGACTGAGAACGACTGCCCTGAAGAGAAAGCGTTAAACATAATCATAAAAGAGAAGAACCAACCTTTGTAAGCAGATGAAACAGGATAAATTTGACATCCATCCTCCTGGATAGACCTCACGTTTGAACGTAACATTCAATATTCTCATTCTGGATAATTTAAAAACAAATTAATTTGTTTACTTATATACTGAATACACAAAAGTTTAGAAATCAAAGGATAGTCTAGTTTCAGTCTTTTATTATCCCAAAAATACATCACACATTTCAGAAGGAAATTCACTTACTGCTAATAAATTGAAATTTTTCTCAGTAAAAATGTTTAGAAATTTAAAAGCATCTATGTAATTTAATACTGGCTAGTGTAACTGTGTTATAGCAATGTCACATTTTATTACTATCTCCAGAATTTGTCATATAAGCTAACTATTTTAACTATACTATCCAATGCAGTGAACTGAACCGAAACAAGATTAAAAATGTAGATGGGCTGACATTCCAAGGGCTTGGTGCTTTGAAGTCTCTGAAAATGCAACGAAATGGAGTAACGAAACTTATGGATGGAGCGTTTTGGGGGCTGAGCAACATGGAAATCCTGTAAGTGTGGATTATCACAAGTCCCACTCAGGTAGTGTGATCACCTAATCTTCAGTAGCTTTTATTTGAAATCTTATGTTAAAATCTCCTAGTTTACAGTTGTGTTTATAATTTAGTTTTGTTTCAGGTAATGTGGCTGAGAGGTTCTAAGCACGTGGCATTTTCTGCTGATGCCTGTATGTAACAACAGCTAAATAGCTAGTAACAATGGGCATACGTAATAGGTTGTCATCATATGTCCCCTTTGAAGAGACAAGATAATGAACCTTTGATCCTACTTTTGATTCTTATTGTAAATGTAGGCAGCTGGACCATAACAACCTAACAGAGATTACCAAAGGCTGGCTTTACGGTTTGCTGATGCTGCAGGAACTTCATCTCAGCCAAAATGCCATCAACAGGATCAGCCCTGATGCCTGGGAGTTCTGCCAGAAACTCAGTGAGCTGTGAGTTGTCTTTTATTCTCCTCAAGTTTGAGAGCAGGGATCATGCCAGAGCATGAGCTTCTTACCACTGATCTGTGAAATTTTCATCACAGTTTCCAAGGTGACAGCTTTGTTCACATGCAACCTAGTCGTAGTTTTGTGGTGATAAGTTGAAGCCAGCTCTGCTGTTTCGGGTCTGTGGTGCATGGGCTAAAGCCATGATGGTTATTTTCAAATAAAGAGAATTTTTTTTCTTTAATTTACTGGGATTACAAATAATGTTTACCTGAGGATTATTAAGGAGGCAGAGTTAGAGTAAGGATTATAGTGGTTACACGTATTACCTGTGGGGTTTTTTTTGTTTTGTTTTTTGTTTATTTTAAACAAATCATTGTGTCGAATTAGAAAATAAAAGCTATTATTTATGTTTTGTTCCTCTTTCCTTTCCAGGGACCTAACTTTCAATCACTTATCGAGGTTAGATGATTCAAGCTTCCTGGGCCTAAGCTTGCTAAATACTCTGCACATTGGGAACAACAAAGTTAGCTACATTGCTGATTGTGCCTTCCGGGGCCTTTCCAGTTTAAAGACTTTGTAAGTTACACGTTTTTGCTCTCCGTGCATGAACCTAATTGATTCCTAAACAGGCCCACTTTTCTCCAAGCAGATTTCCTTTGTTGTGAAGGAAATGTGTGCAGCCTTAGGAGTAGCATCTTAATCTTTCCCAGATCAGTTTGATTAAAATCGGTCCATTCCATCCATATATGTTTCTTAAAGGGATTAAAAAGGACAGTGATCAGATTGTTTGGGTGATTATGTAATTAGCCTTCTCAGGATCTCCAGGAAGTTGGTAACTGCTTAAGAGGGAAACAATTTTAAATCCACTAATTTCTCTTTATAAAATGCAGGTTAAAAATTACCCAGAGCAAAAAGATATACAAAAGGCAGCAAAGGGAGATGCCTGTTTATCGCACCAGATATATCCAGATGCGATCTCTGACCAAGAGAAAGAAGAGGGACTTGGAGTAATTGACCTTTGAAAAATCTCTCAAACGTTAATTTTAGTGTTGTGCAATGGGCGTTTGGTTTTTGCACTGTCAGAAACTTTTGCTCGTTCACTGTTTGAAGCATTACATAATTGAAAGACATACTGTATGCTTTGGCAAGCTCCTGCTTGTGTGGTTGGAACAGTGGTTTTAAACTTTAATGTATTTTTCAGACTATTCAAGTTTTTCAGAATTGAGTCATCTTGATAGAGGAATTAATAGAGCCAGGGTCAGCTGTCCTGATTTGGGGCAAAAACTTAGCATGTTGAGAGGGGAGGACAGGGTGTAGGAGGAGGTATGTTGGAGAGAGAGAGAATTTTCTATTGTTTGGAAAGTGGGTGGAGGTGATGTGGGGAATTATGAGGAATTTATTACTAATTACATGCCACCTGGGTGGCGATCTTAGATTCCTGAGTGTATGTCTAAAGAGAATGCTTGTATCTTTTGTTAAGTAACTGGTACTGATCCCTTTATTGTATTAGGGATCTGAAGAACAATGAAATTTCCTGGACTATTGAGGACATGAATGGTGCTTTCTCTGGGCTTGACAAACTGAGGCGTCTGTGAGTACAGTTTGCCTCATAAGTTGACTCACTCTTTGACCTAAATGTTGTGTCTTAATTAAGTCAGTTCCACAAGCGGACATCTTAAAGAATTCAAAAATAGATGCTTAATCTGGTGGCTACCCTTTATCATTTTCCCATATGCGTGCTGTTAACACAAGATGGGCATTAATTCACTTCCTTGAGCCGTTAGGGTTTCATTCGACACTTTAGTTTGTGTAATTTATTCATTTTGAGATAAGAATATTACATTGTTTTGAGTGCTTAGACTCTTAAGATCATCGTGTAAAAATCTCAGCACTTTGAGATTTTCAGTGTTATACTCTACTCACAGGGAGTTTTCAATGATGTGACCCAGTATTTGCTGATAACACTGCACTAGGTTTCAAGCAACACAGGATAAAAACACGCTTATTTTGAGCCAGAAAGTGGCCTTGCAGATGGCCCAGGTCTCAGCCCATCCTCAGATTGCGCTCCATATAGCCCTGAACTTGGGTGGATGACAAAGGTATCCATGGAGAGGGTGGTTAAGGAGAAAGTCTCCACTATTATCTGTTTTATTCATTAGTGTTCTGAGAAAATTTACTTGGAATCAAGTTTCTACTTGTTCCTGAAAAGACTCTGAAAATCACTGCTTTGATTTAACCATCACAGTAACTTACGGAATACCTGCTTTTGCTGGGTTCTCTATTGAATGCTGTGAAAACATGCTGAACTATGTTACTGAAATAGATGGCATGGATACATTTTTTACAGGGTATATCATTTAATTGAAGAAAATAGAAGTATTCACAAATGACTTAAAAATTAATTCTTTTCATGAACATTCCGCCCCAAAATGACCTTTATTAACTGTTCCAATGTACATTTTTTTTATTTTTTGTTTGTTTATTTTTTCAGAATCCTCCAGGGAAACCGGATTCGATCTATTACCAAAAAAGCCTTCACTGGCTTGGATGCATTAGAACATCTGTGAGTAGCTGGAATTTAGTTACCCTAAAGATAGAGTAAGATGGCTATCTGCCTACATGTCATGAAAGAGAAAACAAACTAAAATGTAATTTTGTCTGCATCTTCTCAGAACCATAAAATATATTTACACATCTGTGTGTCCTCTGTCTGCCTGTCTATGATCTCTCTATCTCTTTATCTACATATCTATCTGAAAGTATACAGATTCATATTTTTTTCATTTAAGGACAGTGCTGTATATATCATTATTGCTGGGTTTTATTTTAGTTATTTTTTTCCAATAGTGATTTTTTTTTTTAAACTGAAATTTATTGTGCACCCACAGCATGTCAGGCATGATGCCAGGGGTTTATACATAGTCTCGTTTAATCCTCATGAGAACACTATTCACTAGTTGTTATTATCTTTATTTGTAAGTGAAGAAGTGGAGGTTCTAAGGGTTTATTGATGCTGTTAGACAGTTAAGAAGGGGACTCAGATTTTAAAAATCAAAAAAAGATAATTCCCACGGTCCTTACGCATGACATTAAGAAGGTAGCAACGCTGTTTTGAGAATTTTTGTTAGGTTGTTATTGCTGTTGTTTAATTATAAAACATACCACCTGTTTTTCCACCTCTACGATTCTTTTTCTTGTTCTCTTTTGCTACTTACCCATCAGTTAGCAACAGGCAGAATCAGGACTCAAACCAGGGCTGCCTATGCTTTGTCCCTGCATCACATGAGCTCTTGCCTTCACCATCTGCCACTGTCCCACTCAGTCACTCCGGGCACACATTTTTTTTTTTTAAAGATTTTTATTGGGGAATTGGGGGATGGGAACAGCGCTGGGGAGTTGGGGGAAGGGGAACAGACAAGTTGCTGCGGCTGCTGGCCGCTCACGCTGGCTACATACAGTAGCCCATGGCAACCCACTGCCACAGGGGCTGCAGCCTATGCCGTCGCAGGCGACTCACAGCCGCCCAGCTCCAGGTCAAGCTGTTGTTCAGCATCTTAGCTGTGGAGGGCAGTGTCACTGGCCCTCATATGTGGGATCCGAACCGGGGCCCTCTGGCATCCCAAGCCAGNTTTGGGATGTCTGGTGGCTGACAGCGGAACCCGCAGCCCAAGGGTGGACGGCGTCCTTCCTGGCAACAACTGTTCATGAGCCAAGCTGGAGCACCTTTGGCAAAGAAGACCCTCACTGGTTATGGCAGACCCTGGCTGGCACCAAGATTCGTTGGTGGATTTTTTAGCCTAGTGCGTGGTAGCCGTGGGACGGAAGAACTGAGATCATCTTTCCACTGAATGGAGATACGGGGAAATAAACCACAACTTGTTGTTTAAAAAACAGAATTTTAAATATTTTACCCAGCTATTAAGAAATGTTATGTTTTGTCCCAGTAGAATTACCTATGTTCCTTTTTGAAAAAAATGAAAAGAATATCTTTTATGCAACTGAGGCAAGAATTTAAGTTAATTGAATAATATGTTCCTACTAAAAAAGAAAGGGTGTGACATAAGGATTCTTTTGAAAGAAACTTTTATTCAGGCACAGTTTATTTGTACGTTACTGTCTAAATGCCCTTGATGGACATTGTGGGTTTTCAAATCCTAAAGCTAGGTTTGGGGAGAACTTCATTGCTCAATGATTAATATTACTGTAGGTCATGAGAAGTGATAAAGATTGGATGCGTGTGTGAGGGGTGTAAATATCCTCAGCTCCATTCTGTAAGTTCCTTCTCCATAACACAGGTATACATACACCCCAGGACCATAATGTGGACTTGTAGAAAACGCTTATTTGTGCTCATGGGATAAGGTGCTCCATTTGAAATGCTTTTTGTTGGTTTACATGCTAGCAAAAGGACCCATATGTTCATGGGGCTTTTTTTTTTTTTCAGGAACGTTTGGAAAGCCTCTGAGGAGACCTCACCTGGATGCCTTTTCAAGCTTTGGACAGCCATCGGATTGTCAGCCAAGAGCCTTTCACTTGAAAGCGCCTTCTTCCCCAGACTTGAACTCTGAGTCAGAGGAAGATGGGAAAGAGAGGACAGATTTTCAGCGAGGAAATCACACATGTACCTATAAACAGACCTTAGAAAACCACAGGACTCCGAATTTTCAGTCTTATGACTTGGACACATAGACTGAAGAGGACCAACGCGTTCTAACATACTACCTCAAGTGGACTTTTATTTAAATGAGAAAGAATCTTATGTTTTTAAATGGAGTTATGAATTTTAAAAAGATAAAATGTCTTATTTATACAGATGGACCAAAATTACAAAAAGTTATAAAAATTTTATATGGGGAGTAACGTTCATATAAGAATTCCTTTTTTTTTAACTATTTTATAACTGTTTTATGCAAAAATATCTTATGTAAATTAATGGTATAAATCCATGACTATTTTATGTATTTTTATAATGCCAGATTTCTTTTTATTGAAAATAAGTACTAAAGCATTTTAAATAATACCTGTTGTGTACTGTTTTTGAATAGAGTTCACTTCGTTTAATTTTGCACATTACATTTAATAAAATGTGTCACTTTGATCCCAAGCCACACCTATACAATAACATTTTTATTGTTTTCAACACATTGTAGGCTTATTTCATATTATCATGTCTCAAATTGATGAAAATTATATATAGCACATTAAAATATGAACAAAAATATGACATTCTCCCTACCTACCATGGTTGTTATAATACAGACTCAGATTAGTGTATCTGAAAGCACATAGTACATGAGAAGGAGCTACAAAGATTTGAGGTACATTAATTTATTTCTAACTCTACAAACAACAGATTTGTTGTAGTCTGGTATGATGTATAGTCCAACCACCACTGCTTAAGTTACTGCTCAAGCCACGTTTCCTTAATTATAATAATGTAGTCTAATGCCTTGTGCTTTTCCAAATAGTTTCACATTCACCACCCCTTTAATTATAACGAGAGTGAATAGTTTATTGCACATTTCTGTAGTTAAAACAACTATAGCAGAGGTAGATTTTTCATCCACTGTTCCAGGTTATAATGAGATGCTGGTAGAACTGTGTGCTGTTTTTACTGATTTCCTGCTGGATAAGCAGTTCTTATAGAAAGGGTACTTCTAAACTATTCTGCAATATTCTTTAAGAATTAAAATATTTTTCTAATTTGTTCACAGCTCTACTCCTTAAAAAATGAGTATCAAATCTGTTACTTAAGCAACACTTTAAAATATTTGTTTTAAACAGTAGTTAGGATGAAAATCATTCACTGGCATATATATGCAAAAAGTGAATATAGTCATTTTCAAAATTAAGTGGCATAGTTGGAAATGATTGAATGAAACAAACTAATAATTCAGATGGTGAAACGATTTTTTTTATAATTTATATTATTTTTATATTTTATTTTTTTTTTTTTTTAGTAAATCCTTGTTCACATCTGTAGTTTAAAGAAAAACTCTCTTGCCCAAGGTAAATTGGTATGGAAGGAGTTAATATAGCAAATTAAGCCTTAATATCTAATCTGTTGAACGTGTAAATTTATGTCATTGTCAGCTCTTTGAACTAAATTGAAAGCAGCTATTAGAAAAGCAAAGTCTTCTCAGAGAATAGGTTGGGGTAAAGCTTTTCTGCTTAGTGAGTTTGGAGCTTTGTGAGCCAGAACCCTGAAGCCAGATTGCAGTCAGATTTTCCTGCTCTAATTTAGACACCAGCGTTCAGGACAGGAAGTTGGTTCTTCCCTGTGCTACCAGTGACTCAGTGTAGAGAAGTGATTTTGTATGCTTTGCCTTTATCATATTGCCAGAGTTTCAAATCTTATTGTTAATTTGTCTTCATTATTGCCAGATGTGATGTAAGCACCGCTAGGGGCCTATTTGATAATTATGAACTTCTTTTAAAGGATTTAATTTTTCTAGACTCGAGCACAAAGGTTTAAATCATTAACACCTGAAATTCCAAACTTATATTCACTCTATCTACATCAATATGATTTTTCCCTCTTACTCTGCTTGTGTAATGAAATTTATATTGGGTTGTCGGAAAAGTCATGACATATATTTTTCTATGTTTTTCGTTGCAAAAAAATGCGTTATGACTTTTCCATTAACCCAATAGATTGCATGCAATCTTAGCTGTGGAGAAACAGGAGCCCAATTTCTCTTTGACATTTGCAGGAAAAGAATGTATATATTTTTCAGACTCCATCTTGAATTAAAATAAATCTAGTAGGTATTCAGATATCCTAAAATAACAGACTTAAGAAAAAAAAAGTAAATAAATGTCACAACACTTGGCTTATTTGTAAGAAGGAATGCTTAAATTTTTCAGTTTAATCTTTCTATGCTTTCTGATTCAAGACCATGTACAACATATCCTAAATAGGCGTTCACACAACTTGGTATTGTTTTGGTTTTTTCCCCCACTATTGACACTAATGATAAGATTGTTGCCATGTATAATCTTATTTGTTATTTTAAGATATTGGGGAAAATTATTCCTTAATAGTGGCAGGCAACATTTTATAAAAATTAAATATCTGTGGAACATTCGCGATTTATTTTCAGTGTCCCTACAGAAAGAAATCAAGTTATTTCTCCCAGAATAAAGCCAATGGCACTATTTTTAAAAACTTGATAAAAACAAGGGAAAGTGACTTGGTCTTGGTACACACTTGAGGGGTTTTTGTCCTTTCAATTTAATGTGATAGGGAATAATTTACAGCCAATGTTACAATAGATGTGCTAGACCGGTATTCAAAGAGAATGAGAACCAAATGTCATTGCAAAATGCCTGCTCTGTCCCTCCCACTCTTGGAATTGGATGTGTGTAATAGGATAACTTAGAAATCACTATTTTTTAAGACAGCATTCTGTTAACACATTGAGTAACACAATGTCCTGCCAAGAAAACTATTAGAGTCTTCAAAGAGGGGTACAGTTTCTTCACAAAAAGAATAATTTCAATATTCCAGAAAGATCCTGTTACCACAACTTATCTTTTCCATGAGGCATTTTAAACTAATGT